ACTGCCATGTGAAGCGCATACATAGAGGAGGAGCATGCCGTGTCGGTAACAAGACTGTGTTCGGAGAACGGTAAGTTACATGCTTCCCCTAGGCATCCTCCGGTACTCAGCTACCAACTCACCTTGGCCCGTGAAGGTTGAATATATAACTTATGCGGTTGGCAAGGATACTGGTTTCGGTCCCTGTGGCAGTATACGGTTTCGGGCTTTCCCAATCACGCGACTGGATGAGGAGATGGTCAATGGCAAAGTTCCCAATATAGACTCCCGTACAAGATCCCGCAACACTGTCCCATGTCTCTCCCGCGCTTTCGAAAGCCTCGTAAACTGTCAAGTCCTAGTATTAGCAGATGCTACTAAGGGATCGTCAAAAGCTACTATCGAAAGTATTACTAACCAACTTCGAGGAGTTTCCGTTGTGATGGATCCATGGTCTCCACTTCGCGGCCCATAATGCCGAAGAAACTATGATCAAAGAGCCGAGCATCTTCGTCAACAAGGAACCCACCTCGCGTCCGCATAGATCCAGGGCGGTCTTGATTAGTATGGTGGAACCCCTTGGCCAAGAATCGAGGCTTATCAAACTCGCGCCAACCATCACGGTTGTCCCTCAATAGCTCCCACAGTCCCGCAGGGTCTCTGACTCCCCCGGCCCATCGACAGCCTAGATGTAGATGAGAATCTTCAGTATTAACTTCGACCTAAAGCACCGAACCAAATTAGAAGCCATCTTACCCATGCCGACAATAGCTACGGGTTCATTTTGAGCATGAGAGATCGTTGCAGCTGGCATATTTCTAGCTACTGGTGGTGTTCAGATATTGGGGTTTTTTTTTTCGTATTTAGTAATACTATACTTGTAAGTGATCCATCAGAATACCAAGGTCCCTCAAATGGGTACTATAATAACGTACTTATGTGAGCACAAGACAGATAAAATAGTCGATCTGGAGTTTATTTCCTAACGAAATACCCCCGACAGCGAGTAAGTGAAATTCGATGTAAGTATATATAGGGGGTGATGCAGTGTACAAAATGATACAAAACCAAGGAAGGCTGGGGAAAGTTACCCTCCATATCTCTGCGTGGAAGCCACGTATCTAGGGCTACAACAGATGTTGTGCTCTATCTATGAACAATTGTTCCGCGTTCCAGCTACAGCTAAAGCTAGGCCGGCCGACATGTCTTCAGCAGATGACAATGTGTCTCCTAGATCGGTCTCAGTCTGGCCTCGAGGCAGCGTGGTAAATTGTTCAGGCTCCCCTTCAGCCGAACTGCATACTTCTCGAACTTGGGAAGAAAGCCCTGGATAGTAACATCATCGAACATCTCCTCAATATCACTCACTTTCTAGCCGGTCTTATCAAACCATAGAAAGAGAGTACCTACGTTCGTTGCAGGTATGGTCCAAATAGCATGCCTGCCTTCCCTATTCCGTAGATAGCAGTCTGTACAATACGACGAATTGTGAGCTGTTCACTGTTGTATCGACGCCCGTTCTAGGCAAACACAAACCTTGGGCACTGGTCTCACCCAAAGGTTTGTGGCAAACGACATTATAATGGGATGGGTAAGACTTTCTCGGTTCGGGCTCGAGTACGAAGCGGCACTTCTGAGTTCAACAACAGTGGTTTGGTAATGCAGCCGTTGTACCAACTAGCAAGAAAGCGCTCGGGTGTTCATCTTTCCCAACCCTCAAAGAACTTGTCGAGAGTTGTCGCTTGGACTTCAGCCAATACGGGCATGGTAACTCAGTCTGGAGGGTATAAGCGGATGAGAGATTAGTAGGATGAGATGAGATCGGTGACATCGTAAGATGCATACATTCCCTAATGAGTAAAGGCCGACTTATCTCGGCCGATGCTTTGCATTGTCTGGACGACGATCAGGCTTTCGACCGGCATTCCTCGGTGCAGGCCAATCCGTAAGCTGCCTTCTCAGGGGCTCTTAGCGTAGGTTATATGGAACCCAACTAGCGAGGCAAAATATTGGAGGGAAAGGAATATTCGTAATAACTGTTCAAGTAGAAGTTCACCAGAAGTGATTTTTCATTACCGTACACAATAATTCATAGGCAATACTCTCATCTAACGTTTTCATTCCATTCCATCGTGAAATGCAAGTGAGTGATGGGATTTGATCATGATCATGATGATAATCCCCCACCGCCTCATACCAAGACCCTTCGGATATCACGGTTGGTAAGACGCGTGTATCCTTCACCCCAGCGTTAGATAGGGAATAGGTCAGATACCTTCGCATTAATTTCACACGGTTTCCAAAACCATCTAGATTCGGGGGGAGAAATATGTAGTTAGTAAGTGCACGCTATCTAATCAATCACAACGGGTAACAGAACTCACTCTTTGCCTGTCTCTGTGCAACAGCAGAAGAGCAGTGCGATAGGCCAGCAGATGAATGCAGCAAGTACGGCGACACAAAATCCAATTGTTGGTCCTGTCACGATGAGACACGTATTAGCATATGGTAGACGCGTCCATCTCATGGTTGTGAAGCAAAGAAGTGGTGGTAGGTAGTCCAGCGCGTCGTGAAACTAAACGGGCGCGGTCTGCACCCCATCCGTGTTGGCCATACAATAGATTTACGGGCGGGCTCTAGAATCCGGGGTCCGGGCGGTGATGTGGTGGGCTGCGAGCGGCATTGGTAAGAAAAAAAAAAAGAAAAGAATAACAATAACTTACCGATGATTTTGATGCCGCACAAACCAACGCCTCGACCACACTGGATGCAGACGACGGGGAATGGGAGTCCGCAATCCGACATTTTTCTTTTATTTTCTCTTTCTTTTTAGCGAGTCGATGGAGTAAGTTGTAGGGGAGATTATTTGATGCGGATGGATGTGGAAAATAAGAAATGAATGAAAAGAGAAAGAGAAAGAGAAAAGGATGGCTGTCAGACAAGGCCAGGGAAGAAATAAGGTGCTAAAAGGTACTGCTAAGACAAGTTCCAGCAGGCTACCCCCTGGTTTGTTAATATAATGCGTCACTCTTATTATATGTACTTATAAGATATTATTCGGTAATAGGGGTGCCGTTATATGGCAATACAGCTGGTTCCATTCAACATTCGTGACCAAGTTCTTGGCTCTTGGCGGGACGGGCGTCAAAGGCATTGCCACATACCGACCGACTTCTTGTTATGCACGTACTAGAATAGATAAATAGACCTCAGAACAGTGAACATGATATAACAGCCAAAAGCTTTAACACGCACAGAACTTGGAAAAATTAGTGCTGACACTTCGGTTGCTCAACTCAGGTATATGAGACAACGAAGGAAAAGAAAAGGGGGGGATTCCATATCACCATATCTATCATAGGTCTGGAGTCTGGATAATAAGAAACTTATAAAACTTCGTAAATGTCTAATAAAGGTTTGATGTCGGTATTCCCATCAAACGTGTTATAGGTTATAGAGGTTTGTGGGAATTCACGGGAGCGCTCTGGTTCTGTGGGAGATATTAGAGATTCCCATTATTTTGATGAGATCTCTTGGAGATTTGTAAATGGGAAACAACTTCACCACGTCCCATGCGAGAATTGTAGCGATAAAACACCACAGATTCCTATGGGGCTTCATGGGACATTGGGATTTCTTTATAGTATGGGTATGGCTGTGGAGTAGGCTTGACGAGGACTGCTCTTTGCATTTCAATAATATCATCGATCTAGTTCCTAACAGCTCCAATATAGTATTTGCATAGCGACGTGAACTTCTCCCATAGCCAAGCTCACATGCCGTGTTCAAATCCCCGAAACTGGCCAAGTTCCTCTCGCCACCCTCCCCATCTAGGTATTGATGTCGTCCAAACATATTATCAATAATTGATACTCTAGCCCGAGAGAACTGGTATGTAGCCTTGAGGCCCGCGATTATTTATTTCATTTGAGGGATGCTTGACGGATCCATTGTTCCTTTATCCTCATCATCACGTTTCTCTACCCCGTTCGCTTAATGAATCGTTCTTCGAGGAGTGTGTGTAATGCTTTGAATGCGGAGCGCTCGCACTGAAGCTGCCAAGAATCATGTTGTAGCAATTTGGGGAGACATCGGCGGTGACATGGCGCTTGAAGCTCAAAAGGATTTCTTGCAGGTAATTGTGATCGCACGTTGTACAACTAAAATCCTACTTCGCATACTGGCAATCACGATCCCTTTTCGATCCAGCGTTGGAAGTCATAGTGTGTTGGAGGTGAAAAAATTCGTAGATATTATGATCTCTGGTTGTTGCGTTTGGTCTTTCGGGCGCGAAATAACTATTGCTTGTCTTGCGATCGGAGGCTCGGGTGAGAGGCACTTAAGGATGGGCGATGTTGGACCGAAAGAGGAGGTACATATGCGGTAGCAGGATAAAGGCAAGTAGCAGTGTCTATCCATATTCTAGGAAGTCTGTGATGTATTATGTTAGCGAACAATTTAGAAAAATGGTAGACATTTGAAATGGATAGCTGGGGAGGGAAGATAACACGATAACCTAGCTGTAGCACCGTCGTAGAATGGCATGAAGAGACTTTTGCAGGAATTACGAGAATACGATTCTCTTCGACCTCCGTTAGAAAGTCAAAGGTATACTAAGTATACCCTTGGCGTATGGTGAGATACATATACACAAACTGAAGAGGGGAAGGGGTTTGGGCTTCTAGCGCTCGGAGCCCCGTTGAGAACCCCTATCATGTAAAAAGGTCCCATCCTCACCAAGAGACGGGTGTAAATATGCATGGAATCCACTGTAATGTAGATTGAGATATACAAACACTCTGTCTATCCATCAGAGTTGTTTTAAGAAGACTTGGAGTCGAGGACCCTTCCCGCAAGGGTTCCCCTATGTATTTGTACCTAGTACAACGGGCTGGATCGGGAGCGGCCTCGCCTATTCTCCTACAGTAGATGGCCTACAGTAGTCTTCCCTTGCACCTAAGAATATATACCAAGACATAGCCATCGTCTCCCAACAACAGGTGGGCAGCCTAGTCATTAAACGCTAGGTGGCGCAACGGTAAGCGCGCCGGTCCTCCGGTAAATAAGGTGGGTTGGGCTGCTTGCCTTTCTCACCTTCGGAGACCAAATGATGTGGGCTGGGCTGCTTGCCTTTCTCACCTTTGGTGACCGGAGATGGGGGTTCGAATCCCTCCCTAGCGAGTAATTTTTTTATTTTTTATGCCTGCCTCCCTCCCCCTCTTCAGTCCTCATCCTCTTTCTATCCGAACAAAGTTTTAAGTTAGATACCTACCTAAATAAGCATTATTCATTCATTACCTTCGACTCTTGAAATATTTTTCTTCTTGAGAATTCAGCCCCCCCCCCCTCCCCCCCTTCCCCTGGGCCTCTAACCCTACAGCACTCCTCCATTAGATTGCTATAGATATTTAGATAATTATCGAATGTTGAATTGCTTATAAGACTAGAACTACATTCTAGAGCCGAAGGTACTTTTCCCATATCATATTGACTTATGATGCCTTCCTTGGTAAGTCACTCTCTTAGGGACTTTTTGGTATAGTAGTACTACCAACTCTCCATCACACCCATGACACACGCAGATGTATACTAGGTCAAATGATTAAATAGTTGAGAACCCAAGAATAAAACATAACAATAGTGTTGTCATATGATAAATAACATATTCATTCTAACACGGTTTGGAGACACCATGCAGCTAACAAAAAAAGAAGCCAATATGTCATATAAGTAGTGTGTTTTCTCCTTTTCTATTTCTGAGTAATACAAGACCCAGATAGATGTATGGCTAGTAATGCATGATTCATTCATTCGTTATTTACTTAGCTGATGATGGCTGAGAGAGAAAAAAACATACAATCATGATCTGTAATTGTGTGTACCTGCTGATATATTGTACATGTAATGTTCAAGTGTCGAATTGGAAGGTGAGACTCAAAATAGACTTGCCATTGAATGTCGGCAGTGTAACATGTCGAATCCAGAGCGTCGGTATTCGGCGGCCGTTAATGTGGGGCCGGCGGCGCAGGCCGGAAGATAGCGCAGTAAGTGTCTATTAGTTCGGACAAAAGTTTGTGTCCTTGCCTGTGAAAATATATTCCTTGCACCATACTATTTCCCGCATGAAAACAGACGCATCAGCTATCTCATTTTTTCTTTGCTATGTTGTAAGTGAATGTAGTGAAAACCCTCACAAAGGTTCTAACCTCAAGCTCATGCTGCTTCCCTAGCATGAAAAATGACTGCAACTAGTCCAACAATTTCCCCTCGGCTTCAAACCCCCATCCACCAATTCAATTAAACATCAAAGACTGAAAAGCAGAACTGAATTTAATATTAAACCCTAGGTGGATATAGCATTGCAAACTTTGGATGTTATATTTATTAATAGCTTGAAGTGGATTCCCAGCTATGGTATATCTTATTATAGCATCCCAGCCATCCCTATCATCGTCAGCTAGCTCTCTTTAGCTGACCAGCTGAGGCTCACCAATTTTTTCCAACATCTGGTTCCCTCCCTGTAAGCCTGCCGGCAGTCGGGTTATAGCGCATAATATTAAGGTATGTTAGTGTACCTGGTGGCAGTAGCAACAGCCCCCAAAATCGGTTCGGATAGTCTAACGGTGCTTTTTAGATAGTCTGACAGTGTAGCGTAAACCTGCTACACACTAAGCTTAAAAACATTTAGTTAACTTTAATATATTGTTATAAATATATATACCCTTTAAATAAAAGTACTTTTATTATTTTGTAATTGTAAAGTTAAATGCAAATATTGCAACTTAATTAAATTTAATTTTGCAACATATTACAACTGTAATACATTTGCAACTATAATATATTTGCAATTTTAATTTAAATACATTTATATTTTAAAAGCTTTTTTTTTTAAAATGCTTTTTTTTTTAAAATGCTTTTTTTTTTAAAATGCTTTTTTTTTTTAAAATGCAAATAAATTTAAAAATTTTAATTTATTTTAATTACTATTATAAATATAATAGCAACTATAACTATAAAATATTTTTAATTAGTTATAATACTTTACTTTAAAGTACATAGCTTTTAATAATTAATATACTTTTATTATTAAAAAATATCGCGTTATATTAAGTAATTATACTTAATATAATATTAATATTATATAATGTAACTTTTTAATACTACTTGCTTAATATAGTTACTTATATATAATTATAACTTATAAAATGTAATATATTATTAATAACGATTTTTTTTTTAACTTTTATAATAAAATATAAAATACTTTTAAAAAAGTAAAAAACGCTTTTTAAAACGCTATATAAGCGCTTAATTTTAAAGTATTAATATTACAGTTTAAAAATAAATTAAAAGCTTTTAATAAAAACTGCGCTTATAAAATTTATAAATATTATAAAAAAAAAAGTTTATTTTTAAAAAAAAAAGTTTATAAAAAATAATAATTATTTAAACTAATTATTAATAAAAATGCGTTTTAATTTATTACACTGTAAAAAAATATTAAAAAGTTAATTAAAAGTTTAAATATATATAAAACTGTAAAACGCGCGCAAATTATAATATATATAATTATAATATGTCGTTAAAAGCTACTTTTATTTTTTATAATTAACGACATTATATAATTTTAAACGTAGTTTAAGCTATTTAAGCCTTTTTTTTTAAAGTTAAAAAATATAGTATTTAATATTGTAAAAAAAGTTACACGTATATACTTTAATGTTAACATTAATAAAAAAAAAGTAATTAATTTACTTATAAAAACACGTAAATTAAACTATAAAAACTATATTGCTACTTAATAGCTTTTATATATTTTAAACATTAAAAACTTATAATATTAATTATATTATAAAAATAACGATTTAAATAAAATAATTAAAAAAATTTTTTAAATATACTTTTAATATATTAAAATATAGCATAAAAATTTTAAGCTTTAAGTTTTAAACGATATATATAAAACTAATTATTATAATATGCTTTTATATTAAGTTATTAGCGTTATATTTTTTTATACTACTTTTTTTATTATGTATTGTTTTTTTAGCAGTAAAAAATAACTATTATTTGCGTAAGTATTTAAAAAGTTAATAAAGTGCTTTATAAAAATAATTATTATTAAGTTATATATTATTATTAATAACTTTAATAAAGCGTTAAAAATAACAATAAAATAAATATTTTTTAATAATATAAAGCATTAAATATATATATAGCATATTATAAAAAATGTAATATTTAATATATGTAAAAAATAAAATAAATTTTTAAAAAGCACGCATATTAAAAACGTAAAAAGTAAAAAAAAAAGCTATATATTAAATAAAGCTAATAATTTTAACTTATATAAAAATAAAAAAAAAGTTAAAAATAATAATATTAAAAAGTTTAATAATGAAAATGTTATTAAAGATTTTTTAAAAGTTAAAAATTTAAAAGCTAATAGTATTAATAATAGCAAATTTAAAAAAAAATTTCGCAATAACGCTAATAAGTTTTTTTTAGCTTAAAAATTCTTTATATATATAGCTATTAAAAAAAATTTCAATAAGATTTAAAAGGTTTTATAATGTAAATTTAATAGTTAAAAGTTTTTAATAGTATATTTTAAAACTATTTATTTTTTTTAAAGATATAAATTTGTTAAATATGCAGTAAAATTATATTGGAATTTTAAAATTAAATTAATAATAAAAACGAAAAGTTTTTATGCGTATTTAAAAAAACTATTAAAAAATAAGTTTTTTATACTTTATTAATTATATAAAGCTATTAAAGCTATATATAAAAAAATATTACGTATTTATAATTAAAAGCTTTAATAATAATAAAATAATTATATTATAGTTATTTTGTTAATTTTAATACTTTTACGATTAATTTATTATATAAGCTACTTTACGTTAAAAAAGCTATATAAATAATATGTTTTAATATAAAAGGTTTTAATTAGCAAAAAGTAGTAAAAAAAGTATGTAAATATATTTATAGCAAAATATAGCCTGCTTTATTGCTATATATTAAAAAGTTTTTTTTAAAATAATAGCAAATTGCAATTATTTTAAATTAATTAATATTAATAGCTTTATAAAAAAAATTAAGTATTTTTATTGTTTTTATAGTAAGCTTTTATATTAATATTAATAATATAAATATTTTTACTTAATAAATTAAATTAGCACTTTAAATTAAACTTTAAAATTTTAGCTTTTTATTAATAATAAAATTAAAACAAACTGCAACCGCTACTTTATATTAATTTAAAAGAAAATAAAAAAGTAGTAATACTTTTAACGCAATTTAAAACATAATAAAAAAAAAATAAAAGCACTTAATAAAAGCTTTTATATAATAAACTTTTTAGCTAATATCGTTATATAGCTTTTAACTAATTATTAATAATTATGCAAAAAAAGGTTATAATAAATAAAATAGTTTTAATATTTATAGCGCTTTTAAAGCAAATAACCCTTTTTTTAAAAGTTTTTTATAGTTAAAAAAGTTTTTAACTAGTATATAAAGTACTTTATAAGCTAAAAGGTTTTTAGCTAATATATTATAATTTTTAGCTAGTATATTAAACTTTTTAAACAATATATAACTAGCTTTAAAGCTAAAAAGTTATTTACAGTTATTTATAAAGCGTTAATTAAAGCTTTTAATAAAGCTTTAAAAGTTAAGCTAATTATAAAAAATTTAAAAAAAAACTTTTTTTTTTTTAAAAAAGTTTTAATAAAAAACATAAAAAAAACGTTTTTTTTTTATTTTTATTGCATTTTTTACTAAATTAAAATAAGTTAAAATTATTAATTGCAACTAATTAAATTAATATGTAATAATAACTATAAATAAAAAAAATACTTGCATTTAAATAGTATTTATATATGCAATAATGTATTAAAAATAACTAATTATTTATTAAATTTACTAACTTAAATTACAGTTTAAATGCAATTTTAATTTATTTACAAATATAATTTTAATTTATTTGCAAATGCAATTTTAATTTATTTGCAAATGCAATTAGTTATGTAATTAAGTTACAACATTTACATTTAACTTTATAACCGCAAAACAATAAAAATACTTTTATTTAAAAAGCATATATACTTATAGTAATATATTAAAGTTAACTAAATGTTTTTAAGCTTAATGTGTAGCAGGTTTACGCCACACTG